GGTGAGTGAGTGAGTGAGTGAGTGAATGAGTGAGTGAGTGAGTGAGTGAGTGAGTGAGTGAGTGAGTGAGTGAGTGAGTGAGTGAGTGAGTGAATGAGTGAGTGAGTGAGTGAGTGAGTGAGTGAGTGAGTGAGTGAGTGAGTGAGTGAGTGAGTGAGTGAGTGAGTGAGTGAGTGAGTGAGTGGTTGTGAGAGAGAGAGAGTGTGTGTGTGTGAGTAAGGGTGCTCACACACGAAGCGAGAGGCAACAGAAAGTAGGAGCGAAAGCTACAAAGGACAGAAATCTCATCACACAACGCTAAGGTGTTGGCACTCACTGATCCATCCTGGGCAGCAGCTGGTCATCATGGGGAAGACGCCTCCCGTGCGCACGCGTTCAAGCAGCTCGGTGCCTTCCTCCATAATCGTCAAATCTGCCGTAAACTGTCCGAGACATCACGCACCATCCAGCACCACCAACAACAACATAACAACAACGCCATAACCAACAAGAACGACGACAACAAGCACGGACGAGGACACACATGAGCATCAGCGATGACGTGTCACTTGATTTGGGTGCGTCAGAAGCAACACCGCGGGGTCGATCCCCAACCGTTTGGAACCGTTTTCAAAATTGGGCCCAAACGTAACGTGTGTTGAAACGTGTTGAAGTTGCCCAACCACACACACCCAATCGATGCCCCAACCAACGTATGTCACAACAGATACACACACACACATACACACGCAAGCGTGCTCAAAATCACACGCCAAACATGAAAACCATCACCACACAGACACCTACACATCCACACACACGCATACACACATTCACCTACACACATACATTCACCTACACATCCACACACACACACACACATTCACCTACACATTCACAAACAAGCATGCATACATACAAGCATACACGTACACCGACGACTCACGTTAGTGTCAAAGACGTAGTCAAAGCCCACGGCGCGAAGGGCGCTGACCAGCTTGCCCGTGGAGATGCTGCCAGGCTCCATGCCAAAGGCTTCACCAAGGGTCACGCGCACAGCAGGCGCAGTGTGCACAATAGTGATGGGTCGGCGCAGTCGGCTCTTGCTCGTCTCTGGAGCTGCGGACGTGGTGTTGCTTGCTGATGGCTGCTTTGTTGATGGTGCTGCTGACGTGGATTGTGGTGACGATGGTGACTGTTCCTCCACCTTGATGCCGGCCTTGGCCTGCTGTGCACCGCACACGTCCCCCATGGTCTTGACCTGGCGCGCACGCGTGAGGTGGTGGCGCACGGTGGGCATGCCGCCAAGCCGCGTGATCTCGTCGCGTGTCAGGTCCTCGTGTGTGAAGTCGCCCTCCAGCAGATGGAGTACCTTGAAGAGGTGCGGCACCTCTGTGATGGCGCCGACGGGACACACGGCCGTGCACGCACCGCAGCTGATGCAGGGCGTGTCTGCAATTTCCTTGCCCATGATAGGTGACACGGACTCGTATGGCCCACGCGACGCAATGCCAAGAATGCTCATGCCCTGAATCTCCTGGCAAGCGCGCACGCAGCGTGTGCACAGCACGCACTTGTCAAGGTCGAGTTGGATGGCGGGGGAGGAGTGATCGTGCGTGCGGCCAACAGCGGACTTGCGGTCCTCATGGCCAAAGAAAGCGGGCTCCTCCACCTGATACCGCATCAGCAGATCCTGGCAGAACGCAGACGCACGCATGTATGTACACAAACATGTAAGCACATATCGCGTACACACACACACATCGTGCACACACACATCGTGTACACACACGCACATACACACACATCGTGCACACACACGCACATACACACATACACACATACACACACATACACACATACACACACATACACACACATACACACACATACACACACATACACACCATACCTGGAATTCGCATTGGCCGTTGACGGGGCAAGTTGCACACTTCATGGGGTGCCTGGCACGCAGAAGAGCAAGCAGGGTCTGCACCTCGTCCTCAATCTCCTTTGTGTGCGTGAGCACATTCATCCCGTCCTGAACACCAGTCACGCACGCGGGAACCTGTGCAAGCATGCATGCATCGCCATTGTCACAACGACATATGAGGCAGAGATCGCAGCAGCAGCAACAGCAGCAGCAGCAGCACCAACCCAACTAACATCCAACAGCGGCAGGGGACGCCATCGCACAGCGGCGCTTGTTGGCACACGTGCGTGACCCTTCTCATCTTCCTCCGAACCTACCGTCTTCTTGCCGCCGACGTCCACAAGGCAGAGGCGGCACGTCCCGACGGGCTTGAGGGAGGGGTGGTAGCACAGGGTGGGGATGAACAGGTTGTTGTCGCGAGCAACCTCAAGGATCGTTTGGCCCAGCGATGCCTGGCACGGCTTGCCGTTGATGGTGACAGACACTGGTTTCTCAGCTGTCGCAGCAGCGGCAGCAGCTGTCGCAGCAGCAGCACTGGTTGTAGCAGTTGCAGTAGTTGTGGTGGTACTGTTGTCTTTCGATGCGGTGGACGATGATGTTGCGAATCCATGTCGCTGTGCCTGAAGCATGCCAGTGGCCACGATCGATGGCTGTGGAGGGATCGCTGCTGTTTGTCGCGTTGCAGCGGCGCGGCGCAACACGCCTCGCACCGTAGCAGCCACCACCATCATGTGTTCTCGCTGCCGTCTTCTACCTTGATCGTCTGTCGTTCGCAGGCACCGCTCAGTCGGTGAAGCAAGTCAAGGAGGTGTGAATGATGATGAAGCAAGCAAGCAACAACGTTAGCTTGGTTTGTGTTCTCTCTTCGATGTGAGTTGCTTGTCCTTCTTGGCCCAACGCCACTGCCATGATGTAATTCGGTGATATGTCGGGAATCATTGCAAATTTTCCGCAACCCTCGTGGCCGAACACACGAGACATGATGTTGGTGCGCGGTGGCAGAGGAGGTCGTGGTGGTCGTGGTGGTGGTCGTGGCCGGGGTGGTGGTCGTGGCCGGGGTGGATTCAGGGGTGGTCGTGGTGGTGGTGGCAGAGGTGGCGGTCGTGGTGGTGGTGGCCGAGGAGGATTCAGGGGTGGTCGTGGTGGTCGTGGTGGTGGCAGAGGAGGATTCACGGGTGGTCGTGGTGGTGGTGGTGGTGGCAGGGGAGGAGGGTTCAGGGGTGGTAGAGAAGAAGGCGGTGATCGAGGAAGTGGATTCAGGGGAGGTCGAGGTGGTGACAGGGGTGGCCGTGGCCGTGGTCGTGGCCGTGGTCGTGGCCGTGGTCGTGGGCCAGGACGCGGAGGACGCGGAGGACGCGGAGGACGCGGAGGACGCGCAGACCATCAAGTGGAATATGCACCACCGGCTGGGAGAACAAAGCAGACCCGCGAAGGAAAGCGGCCCGAGAAATCGCCCAAGCCCACAGCCGGGGAGGATCGGGAGAGGGCAACGGCGGATGTCAAGTACAAGAGCACGCACCGCATCCTGGTTGTGGGCGATGGCGATTTCAGCTTCTCTGCGGGCTTGGTGGAGCATGTTGGCGGCCACGCCGATCGCCTCGTCGCCACCTCCTATGACAGCCTGGAGGAGGTGGAGAAGAAGTACAAGGCCAGCAAGCGCAACATTGGCGCGATCAAGCGCGGCGGAGCGCAGGTCGTACACGACATCGATGCCGGCAACTTGCACAACCACTTTCCAAAGCAGCGCGAGTACTTCCATCGCGTTGTGTTCAACTTCCCGCACACGGGGGAGCAGCGTGTGCATCTGAACAAAGAGCTGGTTCGTCGCTTCCTCTTCTCATCCCCGTTTGTCCTCCATCCCAACGGCCAAGTTCACATCACCATCAAAATGAGGTGCGTGCGTGCGTGAAGATGTGTGTGTGTGTGTGCGTGTGTGTGTGCGTGTGCGTGTGTGTGTGTGTGCGTGTGTGTGTGCGTGAAGATGTGTGTGTGCGTGTGTGTGTGTGTGTGTGTGTGCGCGCGATTGTGAGGGTCAGGGTTCGTTCGCATGCACTGTGCATGCGTGTGTGTGAGTGTGTACGTGTGTGAGAGAGAAACCGTAGGCTTTGTGCTTTTCAGACGCGTGGACATCTCAGCCTCATCTCTCCCCGCGCGTGCCCCTTGCGTCCTTCGTATGCAGCCTCCCCTACAGCGGCTGGGACATTCCTGCGCTTGGGAAAGAGGCCGGCCTGGTGCTGGCAGGCATGCTCGACTTCAACGCCCAGCTCTTCCCAGGGTACCGCCACAAGACGACGCTGGCAGAGGCAAAGGAGTTTGACGCAGAGTCCGACAAGGCGGCAGCCAGATGCAAGGTGTGTGTGTGTGTGTGTGCGTGTGTTGGGGGAGGGAAGGGCTTGTGCTTGCTGATGGACGTGAGGTGATGGGGAGCATCCCAGGATTCGAGTCTCTGTTTGATAAACTGGCTCTTACACGATCTACAGACTATCTACACAATCTCGTTCACACACCTGCACTTTCTCACTCATTCACACCTTCACGTACACTATACACACACACCAACGACACACACCAACAACAACAACAACAACACACACACACACACCAACGACACACACTCATTCACACACGCTTACCACACACACGCACACACACACACACACAGACGCTGGTGTTTATGAAGCCTGCGCAGTACAAGATGCGCGTGCAGCCAAGCACGGATGTGCTGATGGAAGCGGAGGAGATTGTTGCAGAACGAACAGAGGCAGCAAAGCGTGGTCGTGGCCGTGGTGGCCGTGGTGGCCGTGGTGGCAGAGGTAGGGGCAGAGGTAGGGGCAGAGGTAGGGGTAGGGGGCATGGTGAAAAGAGAGAGGTGGAGGCAGCAGATGCTGGCGGTACTGGAGATGCTGGCGAGCACGCGGCCAAGAAGGCAAAGATGACGATGGACGATGGGCCGAAGGAGGGGAAGATCGAAGGCAAGGCGAGGAAGGACAAGAAGGACAAGAAGAAGAAGGACAAGAAGGTCAAGAAGGAGAAGGCAGCGGTGGTGAGCGAGTGAGATGAGGTGTGAGCGTGCGTGGGTGACATGGCA